CGTTTTCCTGCTGACCATCGATACGCCAATACCGAATGTAACAGTTAATTGAAATCGGCTGTAAATTGCCCTTCCGGCTTTGGTTCTGTCTGTGATGTTTATGACACGAAAACCCTGAACTTATTCTTCAGCTAAATCTGAAAGTTCTTTGCCTAAATGTTTGCATCTACTCAATTTAGCTAATAATATGTTTTAAGCAAAATCTATAAAGAGTATATTTTTTTATCTCATGTTTTTTATCGATTAATTTATATAAAATATAAAAATTTGAACAGAACCTGTTTACCATAGCATTAAAGAAGAAACCAAAAAGTATTAAGAAAATATCAAATATTAATATTTTTTTAGAAGTTTAAATGCTTGAAATTTATTAATAGCCTAAAAAGAGGCAACTTTGACAGTTCTACATTTGAACTTTGAGACTTTTTTACTAATTTATCGTTTTTTTTTTCACAGTACGCTAAGCTTTTGGAATAAAATGGCGTGATGTATTTGTTTGAATCTTTAAAAAAAGACGAATATCAAGTGCAAAAGTTTTGCAGAACAAGCTGAAAAGAACTTTAAAAACTTTTTAAAGCTTCTTTTCAGTTCCTATAAATGACGTTATTAAGATATCCTTGACAACTCTGAAAAACCGTAATTTGTCACAGTGCTAATAAAAGTTTTGCTTTTTTAGTTTCTAGAACTCTACTTAATCGAGCATTTCACTTATTACTTTTCTTTTTATCTGGTGAAAAAAATGCCGTAACAGCTTATTTTATTGTACGATGTTTGTCAAAGTTATTGTTTGACAATTTTAAGGAATGATTTGTTAAGCTGACAAATATTTCTTTTTCAAAGCAGTGTAATTTGATTAAACAGCAGTCAAAAACATGAACTCAGCTCGTGCTGCCTGGAACTTCTTTATTTATCTACTAGTTCAACAATTTACTGCATGTTTAGCCCAGGTAAGAACATTTGTAATTCTTAATATTGGTTTTAAATAATGCTTCAAAATAGATACATTTATTTGATGGTTTTAAATGTAAATAATTGTGACATTTTATTTGAACAACAGTTGTATGGTTATAAAGAGAAAAGAGTGTAATTCGCAAAAGTCAATAAACGTCAATTTATCTTAAATTTACGTTATAAAAAGCTCAAAAAAAAAAAAAGAAAATCAACATTATTGACATTGATAGTGAATGAATGATTACAATTTTTTAATGTTCTCGACGATTTACTTTAGGTGTTCTATACACCAAAACAATCTCTTCTGCGGTTTAATTCATCACTTTCTAATAGGATTCTTAAACTTTTAAACGTATTCTTTTAAAAACTCATGTTTTTTTATTATTTTAAAGCTTCAAGAAACATTTTAAGCTGCTAGCAGGTCTTCAAATTACTTTAAGAAAGGTCTAAAGTGTTTTAGAGTTGGTCTTAGTTGAATTAATCGTCAGTTACTATACGGAATTTTTTTGTTAGTAAAATTTTGTGACAACTCAAATTACTGTATTTGTAATTCAAAAGAAATCAAACTTTTATTTGCAGCTGTTGCATAAATCATCTAATAAAAAGTTGGAGAAGTTGAGGTGATTGACTGCTGTACGATAAGTCCTTAAGTCACTTAAAGCATTATTAAAATCTTTTGGTTAGGGCGGTAAAAAGTTTTGTTATCTCATTCATCCACAGCTTTTTCAGTTTTAATATGACACTGAACATTTGAGGGTGGTAAAGGATGAGAGGAAATTGAGGCTGTGACACAGTATTTAATTGAAAAAAAAAAAGACTAAAAAAGTTTGAAAAACTTTACTCTAATGTCTGACCTGCAATCTCCCCAATTTCTTTTTTAAATTCATTACCACTTTTAGTGTAGTTTTTTTTTTCTCTATTGCAGATGCAACTTCAGATTAGTTTTTTTTTTTTCATTCCGACATTGCTAAATAATGCCAGTTTCTTTTCTTTATTTCCAGTTACTCATTATCTAAAAGGTCTGAAAAAGTTTATAAAGAAGAAATTTTTGCCAAATCTTCTTGAAAATCTAGTTAATAAGAGGATAGAATAAAAACTATTAAGTCTTATTTAGTTCAGTAAGTGAATTTTTTAAGAGACTTGAATAAACACTTTTGATGTTCTTCGGTTAAGATGATATATGAGTGTTTCAAAAGATGTGTTAGAGTTAAAACAAAAATTGGCCTACAGAAATGGCAAGAATTCAGAGTTTTATGAAAAAACAATATTTGCAATAACCGTCTTTAATTTTAATAAAGAAAAAAAAAAGGTATCTAAATAAAGTGACAGTTTTGGAATCATAACCAACTGATTACCTGCCTATAATCAGTATGATCTTTTCAACTACCAGTACTATCGATCATAAAATTTTTGAGAAAAAAACCGAACAAACTGCCTAAGAACAATCTAAAGTCATTGAAAATTATCTTTTTAGCATATTTCAGTCGTTGTTTTTTTTCAATTTTGTAAATAGGTTTACTCATGTAAAATTATACCTCAGAATAAAATGCGTGTTTTTATAACGTCAGTGCTATTTCGCCATCCATTCGGCCATCTTTTAATGCCTATCGCCAAGAAAAAAATTTGCACAGTTATGTTGCCTTGAAGAACACAACACATTTTTGTTTATTAGTTCGTTCAGTAAATCGTCTTATGAACACTGACCTAAACGTCTACAAACTGTATTTCTACGACAAAAAAACATTCATTCAAGAATGCTGCTTAATCTTATTATGAGGTGCAAAATTTTGCAACATTATTCTAAAAAATTTGACTGGGAAATTTACATTCTTTGTATGGTCTGTTTCGGGTATCTTAAGCCTAAATCAAAGTTGTAAAGTAAAAAGAAATTTTCTGAGTTGCCATTAAGCGGAAGCAACGTTAAATTTTCAACAGCTTAGCCTAAATGACAGCTATCTATAGCTACTTCTAGCTGGCAAAGTTTCAACTATCTACAGATACTTCCAGTCAGTGAAGTTTCACTCTTTGCCCTCATATTTCTACTTACGTGATAAGAGACATCGTCTGAACAAGCAAAAAAAATTTAAACAAATAAAAAATTATTTTGAGCTGTACATTGAAAGGAATTTCTGTTTGAGCAGGAACTGTTTTTGCTTTCATAAAGATCATAGTTTTGATGCAAAAGTTGCTAGTAAAACATACTGCCGACCGGATCTATAATGTGACAACTTTAATAAGCTCAAAAGTTTTAATGTTTTTGTATATTTGGCACTGAAACCAGTAAGTTTTGATAGTTGAAATTGAAAAAGAGGTTTTTTCTAAACTTTTATTTTGAATTTAATATCAGAAGAAATTTTGTTTTTTTGCCTGACGGATCTATCTTATTTTTGGCTTTAGAAAACAGCCCTAATGTGTGCAGATTATTTAACATGTCGTTCAACAATGATCTCAATGCAACATAGTTGTGCTGAAAGAGCCAGAATTCTAACGGGTCAGACTTGTTCACTAAATGAAGAATTGAGGTAAAAATTCATTCAAAATTCATCAAAAGCTGTGAAGTTTATAAAATAATTTGAAAAATATAAATTTTCTTTTTCAGACAGGTCCAGTTACTGAACGAGCATCGTGAAAGCGAGTTTGCAATATGTGTTGGGCAAGAAAGTCTAGAAATGGACCGGAAAATAAAGGGTTATAGAGTTCAGGTAAACTTTTGCAAGTCTCAGTTTGAATAAAGAAATAAGCCAAAATCAGAACTTTTGGTAATATTTTTTATCTGTTCCGTTCTTTCCCATGACTGTTAGAAAGCAACGAGCTAAGGAATAAATATGGAAATTTGATACATATTCTCAAATACCATATCTATTCACCTTTACTGGTCTCTAATTTTTTGTTTTTGGAAAAAAAGTTTATAGAGGTTATGCTTACCAAGTTCTTGCTTACAGAAGACCTGTTCGTCACCGTCGTCAGAAGAGTTGGTAGATAGTCAAAAGGAGAAAGGGTGTTGGCATGCGGTAGCTATATTAAAGCGGAACTGTGACAAAATCAAGAACTGTTGCCCGGCAGCAAGTCGGTTAGTAGTCTTGTGATTTATGTTACTTAGCCTCTTCAAATCTCGGTGCTTTATATGACAGTTTAAAACTACTTAATAAATTCAATAAACGTAAAAAATTCTTTAAAGCAATGTTTCGCTAAAAATAAAGCACCTTTGATTTTACTTAAGTGTCTTAATGGTTACCGATAAAAACTCTTTGAACGATAGTGGTAGCAAAATAAAAAATAACTGGACTTTTTAGCATATTAAGTTTTAATTTTCAGCTGTGAAGAAATGCTTTTGCTCAGCAATATAACCGAGACCGTTAGAAAAAAACATGTTGAAATTAATCGAAGAACTATTGAATGTAAAGCAGAACTGAAGAAGATTATGCAACTGGATAAAAGTTCAAATAAGTAACGAAATCTTTTTTTTTTTTAAATAACATAAACGTTTATTAACTATGACCATAAAACATCAGTTTTTTGCCATATCAAAAAAAAGCTACTTAAACAAAATGCAAAAAAAGCTATGTGTAAGTATGCAAGGTCGCTAACACTTATCTAAAAAGCATTTTCACCGCTTTCCACTTCTTCTGTTTTAATATCACTAACCCGCTGTAAAAACAAAGAACCTTTCTCACTTCAGCAGCCACCTCTACTAAAAATAATTTCTTTTAAGCCTCAATTTTTTTCAGGATTTCAATACGTTTGGCATATGCTGTAATTTCAGCAAAACTCGAAAATTTAGCTAAACAACTGAGCATGTGGAACGGATGCGAATATGACTTCTCAGCTTTAGATGATTTACCGGCAAAAACTTTTTTCTTCTACTTTTTTGCTGCATCTTTTATGATCTTCAGCTAAGTATCTGCTAATATTATCAAGAGTTTCTGCTTATAAAAGGAATTTTTAGAATAACGATGCAGACGATCCTCTTCTCTCAGCCGTGTATTTCCAAAACATAGAGGATCGTAATACCAAAAAAGCATTGTACTCGTACTACAAGGCGCTGTACAACAAAGCACAAGGATTTGCAAAAATTTTGGAATCAGAAAATGACAAACTGTCGACTAAAAATGATCACAGCGAAAATTACATCGCATCGACCGCAACAGACATTAAAGGAAAAAGCGTAAAAAGTGATCTCACCAGTGGTCACTATTACGAGGGTGGTGTGAGAAACCAAGGCGGAGAGATCAAACCGCAGCCAAGTTACATAGCATCGGGCCTTCACTCTATCTCGGAACCCCAGGAAGTGCTTCAGAGCGTCTCTAACCTAGATGAATCCGTCGAATCAACGACACCATCAGAAAGCACACAACAAAGTGAAGGCACGTCGGAGAGCGATGACTATGAAGATTACAGTGAAGAAAAGAAGGCAGTAATCTCATCTACTCCCAAAAACAATATTGAAGACAGTCGTTCAAACGATGATTTTTTGAGTAAGTACAGTCAATTGATGACAATAAAAACGACTCTTTTCCCAAAAATAAGTGCATTAAAGCCATAATTTCAAAAACGATTCCTATGTGATCACTATCGATCAAAAGCCTTTTGGCATTTCGATCGGATTACTAACCACAACAAAGCTTACTATAAAATTTCATTCTTTCAGAGACATGGATTTCAAGCGAGTTACTTCCTACTGAAAACGATGACTCAGTCAAGTCTAGCCCGCTTGAAAGAATTAAACCAAATCCAGTAAAAAGTTCCCTTCCCTCCACTGCATTGGATCATAGCGCAGCAGTAAATGAACTGAATTCGGCTGCAACAGAAAAAACCGAAATTAACAAGCAAAATCAACCAGAAAAAATGGATAAATACTCAACAGCAGAAAAATATATTAAACAACCAGAGGATACTTTTAGACAGCAACAATCGCAGTATTACTCAGTAAATAAGGCTGTAAAAAACGAAAGCAAAAAAGAAGACCAGGAAGTCGAAACAAGCAAAATTGACGTAAATGAGTGGCAAAAAACTAAAGACAACTTTATGGTAATAAATGCACCAAAACTAAAGACGGCAAAGGCCGTTCTGAACATTTTAGAGAAACAGTTTGCAGAGGCAGGAAAACATAAACCAAGTCTAGAAAAATTTGATAAAATTGAGGAAGAAATAGCTTTTATAAGTCGGTTACGTAAAGTTTTAAATAAAAAAACAGCAGAACACAGCATGCGAATAACAGATCTGGAACCAAAAAGCAGGATACGAGGACTGAAAATTCATAAAGTTGATGCAGACACAGCCGACCCAAAACCGGACAATAATGATGGTATATGGAATAAAGAATTCATTGCGTTGGGAGAAAGGAAAAAAATTTTTAGTAGCCCTGAAAGTTTTAACCAGGAAATGAACAACAGAATTACTGACGAAGCGGCAAGAGGAGAGAACCGACTGTTTGTCGAAATTCCAAATAAAGCCAGTCTTCAATATCATCTGTTGACTGGAAGTGAGGTCGATAACAATGCCCCGGGACCGATGTCAATGTCAATCTCTTACGCTCCATTAATAACCAGTACTGAATCTTCTAGTGCGAACGGGTTGAAACAGGTGGCGATTAACCTTGGTAAGGGAGAAGGATCAATAAATAGGGAACACGTGGCTGGAGTGTCGAAAACTTACCAAACGTCTGTAAGAATTGCAATCAAAGACAAGTTTTTTCTTTTTTTGATGCTTTTTACTCTCTAAACCAGAGGAAAAACGATTTTTTTGATTAAAGCTTAACGTATTATTGAAGTTATTTTTCTCCAGTATGGTCCTCTAGGATGATTAGTACTAATGAAGATTACATTCAGGGAAGTTCTGGCGATTACAGCAGCGAAGAACGCCATAGGGTGTTAAGCGGTCCAGTGGCAGGTACAATGACGTTCACAGGGAATCATGTCGAGGAGTCGAAATTCATTGAAGAAGAGGAACCAATAGAAATTGAAAACGACGATACCAGATTAGCTAAAAAACGTTTAGAATTACTGCAAGGTCCAAATGCGGTAAGAAAACAGCTGTTTCCTGCATCTGTAAAAACTACTTCTTGTTTCTTTTGAAAACAAAAAGTTATATTCTTCAAATAATTTGTTATAGTTGATTAATAAATCTTTATTCATTTTCAGGACTACTTTTTCTTTGTTTTTTTCCTTCTTCTTTCTTTTGCGAACACAAACTTTCCAGAAATATGCCAAAGGTGAAGGTCCAAGTGGTTACTGTGGTCTGTACACGGCTTGTATTACTCAAATGGATTATGAACAAAGTGATTGTCATGAAACGAATGGAGATGGAAGGTTTCAAGGTTTAAATGCCCAAAACCTGTTTTTTACCTTTATGCATTACAAAATGTATAAG